AGCAGGTGTTTTCCTCTGTCTTACCCTCTTTGAATCCAATAATGATGACTATGACACCATGTTAAGTCTGATTGTAAAATAATATTTAAAAATGGGGAAAAGATACAGGTATATGATTAAGAAACAGAAAAACTAGTCACGTAGGAGAAAGAACTCATCCTGGGCTGTTCTGTGAGGAGGAAGATGGGTTGAGCCAGCCTCAGGGAATGGTTGCAGTGGACACTGGAGGGGCAGACAAGCACATATTGAGAGCCCAGTGTGCTTAGACATGCAGTTTGGGAGACTGGGGAGATTATTGATGACACAATCCTTTTGTGGCCAACAAAGGGTTATGGGGCACTCTTTTTGTTAATGAGTCACTTCTATGTTTATTGCTATAAAATGTTCTCTTTAATGCTCTTAGAGATGGTCTGTTCAGTAAAGAAGTAAAGTTAACCTGTAATAATAATTCCTTGGTCTCCCTGGTTCTAAGAATACAGTTTTCATTTCACAAAGACCCCAGGAGTCTATATAGCCTCAGCTTTGGACATTAGCTCCAAGGGGTGGAGCTCCGTGCACAGGTCCTGGCTGTGGACACTCTGTCCAGTAGACATGAACTGTACCTGAACCTATATTCTTCCTGGAAAGGTGTGTTGGTAACCTTCCTGGGTTGTCCTTTTCAGCAAGCTTTTCCTCATGTCTCACCTAGAAGCAGAGTACTATGTGACTCATTGCAGCAAAAGAGTTGGATGTTGGAGTGCTCTCTCTCCTAGGTCCCTTGCAGCTATATGGCCCTAGATTTCATTTGTTTCATCTTTCTCTACTGTGAATAGGTAGCTATAAAAGGGGTTCATCATTTGCATAGCAAGGTCTATCTATGTGCTTCAGGAATACCTTAGTACTATTCTGTTCTCTTGACCCAAACCAAATCCAAAGACCCTGTATTCTTAATGTAGGGAATACCTATGCAGAAAGCTGTTTTCTGAATTTATTTTCTCTAAGAGTTCATGTGGCAGGGCTGATGGGCTTTCTTGTTTCTCAGAACCTGTCAAACACAGGTTCCTTACCCCCTACTCAGTAAATCAATTTCTCCACTGGCAGATCCTAGACATCTTCATGCCAGCACCTATCCTGGGGATTCTGAGGTAGCTGGATGTTCAGTATTTCATAACTGTTCAGATGAGTCACAGTTCCCACTCGCTAAGACAACAGGAGCCTTCAGGGCAGCTCAGATTGGGCCTGGGCACAATGGGTCTTCATGAAAGACCAATTAATACTAGCAGCAATGCTGAACACTATATATACAATAGGAATAAAACCAGCAAGACATGGCACCTCCACTCATAAGACTCTTACCTGTTCATGCAGTCTGTTCTGCAAAAACCATCCATCAAGGGGCCGGAGAGATGGCTCAGCAGTTGAGAGCACCAACTGCTCTTGCAGAGGATCCAGGCTCAATTCCCAGCACCCACATGGTGGCTATTCTAGTTTCAGGGGAATCCGAAACCCTCTTCTGACCTCTGCAGCATTGCACGACATGGGTGTACTCATCAAGAATATACAAATAGGGCTGAGGAGATGGCTCAGTGGGTAAAGAACTTGGCACAGATGCATAAGGACCTGAGGTCGTATCCCCAGAACCCTCCACATACAAGCTGTGCATAGTGTTGGCAGGCAGAGACAAGTAGATCCTGGGGACTTGCTGGCCAACCACTCTAGCCAAAATAGCAAGCAAGGTTCAGTGGGTGACTGTCTCAAAAATTAAGGTGGAGGGACTGGAGAGATGGTTCAGCAGTTAAGTTCAGCTGCTCTTGTAGTGGACCTAGGTTTGGTTCCCAGCACCCATGTGGTGGCTAACCACTGTCCATAAGTCCAGTTTCAGAGGAATTCAATGCTTTCTTCTGACCTCTGGGGACATTGCACAACATGGGTGCACTTACATACATATAGGTAATACACTCATACACATAAAATAAAGATAAAAAATAAAATGTTTTAAAGTTAAGGTGGAGCATGATAGAGGAAAACACTTGCTTTGGCATCCTCACATGGCCACACAGGAGAGCACACAGACACACATGTACATGCATGCTTTCACCACATACTCACACAAAATGCAGAAATAGGCTCTTAAATTCAATATACAACATGTGTATTTGAAAGAATGGAGGCACTTGCCATACTTGAGAGAAATTGTCCAACTTCTGGATAAGTCTTTCTTAGCAACTAATCACAAATAGAGACCTGAAAGATAGCCAGGCAAAGTCAGGAGCACGTTCTAGATGTCCATTGTCTAGTATGGCAACCACAGTGCAGTGACTAGTCACAGTTAGCATTAAAATAAATCAGAAAGTGTAGTGTCCTCACTGTGTTAGCCACACTTGGTATGCTCAGATGTGACTGCCACACTGAACAGAACAAAAGGCCATATTGTTCATCAACTCCAAGTTTCCTTGGCTGTCCCTTGGCAAAGAAACAATGTGGTACACTACCTATTTTTTGGTGCGGGGGGGGGTCTTTTTGAGACAGGGTCTCCCTGTAGCCCCAGCTGTCCTGGAACTCACTATGTAGACCAGGCTGGCCTTGAACTCAGAGATCCCCCTGCCTCTGCCTCCTGAGAGCTGGGATTAAACAGCACCTATTTTTAAAAACTAAATTTTATTGCAAGACAGCTATATTCAGTCTTCTGTTCTCTGTGGCTGTTTGTCCACTACAGTGGCAGAGTGGAGGCATTGCAGCAGAACTCAAGACCCATAGGACCCCAAGTATTTATTATCTGGCCTTTTATAAAAGCATAAGTACTGTCAGGGCATGCAGACAGTGAGATTACAGTGCTCTGCCTACATGCACACAGGCAGGTGCTGCTCTGTTGATCCTTTCTCTGTCTCCATCTGGGGCTTCGAAGGCAGCGGTCTCCTGGTCTAGAAAGACTGGAGCAAGTCCAAGGAAGAGCTCCTATGTTGGTGAAGCAACAGTGTCCTGTGAGGCACAGTGGACATTATTGATGTGATTCTGCCCTGGGTGTCAGGCTGGATTAAAGGGCTCTTAAAATCCAGTCACCTCCTTCTTTGAAAAGATAATAAATAAATAAATAAATAAATAAATAAATAAATAAATAAGCCTTTAATCCCAGCACTCGGGAACTCAGGAGGCAGAGGCAAGCAGATCTCTGAGTTCAAGGGCAGCCTGGTCTACATAGTGAGTTCCAGGCCAGGTGGGGCTACAGGAGACCCTGTCTCAAAAAGACCAAAGGAAATAAATAAATAAATAAATAAATAAATAAATAAATAATAAATAAATTTATTAAATTTTGAGGGTTGACATGGACACATGAAAACCCAGTTCCCTTGTTTGTAGGATCAATCCAGTTCAGTGGTATGTACATTTTATGAGATGACCACAGAGAATCAAAGCTCATGTGAATGATTGGATGGATCTTGAGTTTAAGTGTTCCTCCTAGGGTGTGTTAATGGAATCATCCACTTGCTCATTAATGAGGTATACATTGTACCAAACTTTGGGTTGAGGTTTATTTGAGTGTCTCTTAGAATCTTCAGATTCTTCTCAATTCCTGTAATCCTAAGTAGGTTATACAGAGGTTTAAGGTCTTCTCTTTTGGGACTTTTAGATTAAATTCACTTAAAAATATTCTTAATGACTATATGAATTTGTTGGCCTGTGCCCTAGTGTATTCTTTTAGATTGCAGTTTTCTCAACCAAAAGATTCACTGACTCTACCGGTATGTATTGATAGGCTACTACTATTGAGAGTATTACTGTTCTGTCTTTAGTAATAGCATGAAACTACTACTAAAAATTCTAAAACTGTCAGCTTTGTCTGCATGAGAATAGAGCAGACAGGCTGGTGAGATGACTCAGTGGTTAAGAGCACTGACTGTTCTTACAGAGGACCCAGGTTCAATTCCTAGCACCTACATGGCAGCTAATAACTGTGTGTAACTTCAGTTCCAGGGAATCTGATATCCTCTACTGACCTCTGTGGGCATTGCACAACGAGTGCACTTACATACTTGCAGGCTATATACTCTTACACATAAAATAAAAATAATAACATATTAGAAAAGAAAACAGAGCAGGTGCAAGCTCTGGTCAGGTGCATTGAGAAGCATTCCCATACAACTTTTATTTTTGTACACATGCATACATGTATATATTTTTGTATTATTTAAAAAATATTTTTATTATTTTTATTTCATGTGTATGAGTATATTATCTGCACGTGTGTAAGTGCACCTGTGTCGTGACCACAGAGGTCAGAAGAAGGCGTCGGATTCCTCTGGAACTGGAGTTACAGATGGTTGTTAGCCACCATGCGGGTGCTGGGAATTGAACCGGGTCCTCTTGCAAGAGGAATCAGTGCTCTTAACCACTGAGCCATCTCACCAGTCCCTCCCATACAACTTTTAACCCTTTTGACAGCTTTAGAAAGTAAGTTTTACTATCACTTTTTTTTTCCAGATATGAAAACAGGCTCAGAAAAATTAAATGAGTTTCCCAAGTTCCAGTATTTAGTAGTGACAGGACAGAGATCCAGTCCCAGGCCTCTTGTTCCCCACAGTTCTGCTCTCCTTTTACTGTTGTTTTTAGAGTTGTTCACCAGTTTCCAGATACAATATTATAAAGAATTCTGTCCCATACATTCTATTAGCGTATGGGTTTGCATTTTGCCATCTATTCTCTGCCTGCTTTGTGTCAATAGTAGTAACTCAAGTTCCTGAGTAAAAATTGTTTTAAAGTTCAAAGCTTTTGTTTTTGTTTTTGTTTTTAACCTCCTGGCACTGAACTTGATTTCTAAACCTTCTAGATGCATGTGCTATCCCTCCAACATCATTCTGAAACAATTTTTGAATATTTAACATTTTTTGTTAAAGAAGTCACCATGCCGCTGTTTATAGGCATAACCTATTCATGCACAGTGTGAACTGGTAGTTTTGTTAGTTGGTTTTTCTAGCCAAGAAAACCACCAAATAAGCATTGCCAATCCTCTTCTGTTGTTTCAGGTTTGATGGGAACTTTAACACCAATGTATCTAGAACCATTAGTTGTGACCGACTTTCTGCCACTGTGAATAGCCGAGCCTTCAACCCAGGACGAGACTTAAATTCAGGTCAGTATTTGCTTGTTGTTTTTATAAAGTCAACCACATCCCACCATATTAGTGTTGAATAAATATACTGTCTCAAACATTTTTAAGTTTTGAAGAAAAATAATATATACTTAAAATTATCTGTTTCTTGGAAAGTTCACAATCAATAAGGAAAGGACAGGTATCAAGCTGGCACGGATGAAGAATCTGTTTCACAACCATGTGTATGCCTGTGACAAATACTGTGCCAAGCTCTTCTATCTTTTTTTTCTCATTGTTTACAAGTTTTACATTTGTTATTAAAATTTTTATTTTATTTAATGTCTGAGTGTTCTGCCTGTATGTAAGTGTACCCATGCATGCAATGCCTGAGGCCAGAAGAAGGCATCAAATCCCCTAGAACTGAAATTACAGAGGGTTGTTAGCTGCCATGTGGGTGCTAGGAACTGAACCCAAGTCCTCTTGAAGAGTAGCCAGTGCTCTCAGCCACTGAGCCATCTCTCCAGTCCCACATTTTTTATTTTAAAGACCATGTCAGAGACCCAGATATTATTGTAATAAGAGGAGTTGAAATCCAGTTGTATTCCCTTATAATCATTTTAAATTTGTTTTAGAGTTTTCTGGATGAATAATGTAAAGGTTTTCTACTAACAAGCATAGCATCGCACTGTATATTGAAATTAAACTTGCTTCCTGGTCTCACTGGAGTTTAATTGTATGTGATGGCAGTAGCTAGTAGATATCTCTGTTTGTAAAGCAGCTTCCGATTTCAAAGTACCATGGTGCCTCTGTTTTCTTGCCCTGGAATTCCCCTCCAAATTTTCCTATTTTGTCTTGTGTGCACTTGTTGATTGGTAGATCTCAAGACCTAGAAACTTGACCGTTAGAACTGGAAGGACTTTCAGAAATAGCACCCACATCCATTTTCAGATTTCACCTGAGTGAATCTGAGGCTCAGGAAGGTCCTGGGCCTTTACAGTGCTGGGAAGTTGAGGACTTGATCTTTAAACATGAAGGTATATATTTCCCAAAGCCCAGGCCTCTTGTAGACACATAAAACTCAAGAAAGAAGCCAGAGGACCAGGATATTTACTTATAGGACCCTATCCAGTCTGAGGGAGAAATTGTCTTCTATGGGAATTGTATACACAAACCAGCTCATCTGTAGGGTATAGGAAGAAAGAGCCATAAGTTTTAAGCTTCTTGGGGATAATAAAACCATAGCTTCTAGATAAATGGTCCAGCCTTTCTCTGCCAGGCACATACCTCTGAGCCTGTATTTGTAGCATATTCAATCATTTTTAATTGGTTAGAGAGTCTGGAAGTCTTCTAGAGCAGATGAGGTTTACCACTAGAAGGAAGTTAAATGGGGGTATTTTTCATTAAAAGAGTAGATAGTGGCATGGAATGGGAAAAGCAGATTAGTTGTGGCAGATTCCACAGCTGGCACAGGGCATAGGACTGGCACTCAATCCTCTGGTTCCTCAAATTCAATATTTTTCCTCAAAAATGCTCAGTAACGTAAGACATGTTGCTGAAATAGCAATCGTTAAGTAGAACCAAGATAAGAAGGCTTCCCAAAGATACACGGGGTAATTAAGCATTGTGTATAGTTGAAAGTGTTACAAGTCATGCTGACTTGATAAGTATCTACTTGAATTAATAAAGAAAAAATAGTACATTTTTCATTTATGCAAAATCTAGAGATCCGTTCATTAATTTTCATAGTTATTTTTATGGTGGAATGGTAAAGTATTCGTAACTTCAAACTAAGCATTCGTTGTTTTAATAATCAAGGAAAAAATAAAACAGGAGGGAATCTCAGTTTAGAGTAGTCCTTCAGCTTGGTTCTAGGAAATATCTTGTAGTCACTAAAATCTGCAGAAGCTCAACTCTCTTGTCTAAAATGGTGTAGTATTCACATATAATCTATACTTCCTCCTCCATACTTTAAATCATCTCTAGATTACATTAGATTAATACCTGATAATATGTGAATACTTGTCCCACTACATTATTTAGGAAGTGACAAGAAAGGGTCTGTATCTGTTCAGTGTCAACTCAGGTGTTTTCCAAGTATTTTCAATCTGAGGTCACTTGAATGCACTGATGTGGAAGACTATTTTCAAATGCAGTTCACTCCTTTTTGGTAGAGAGTGTCTTTGTTAATGAGTCTCTGGTAATAGATCCTCAGACTGATGTTGAGTTTCTAGAGGAAGCTCTATTACTTCCTGTTTACGTGATTGGGAGAAGAAAGGATAGACAGGGACTGGGGAGATGCCTCAGTGGGTAAAGAGCTGCTCCCCTCCCCCCCACACACATACACGAATACATAGGCGGACTGAGGGTGGTGCATGCCCATGTGGAGTGATGGTATCCAGAATGGCCCCTTCCTACTGCTTCCAGGACTGCCTACCTCAGTGAAGGGCCAGACCTTGGTAGATTTGGAAGCTGCCACCAGGCCTTCACCCCCATTTCCTTATTTTTTGTCTGATCATTGTTTCTGCAGTGAGAGCATTGTTGGGCTCTAGTTCCATCATTGACAAGCACTATGCCTTTTTCTCAATGAATACAGAAGCATTTTCCCAAGTGTTTGCCTCCTATCCTCTAGTTGAAATAAATATGTACCATTAGGGTTTATTCAATACGTGTTTTATTAAATACCCTACCATGTGGTAAATACTAGGTCAGAAGCTGTAAACAGAACAAAGAAATTATTATTTGGAGATTGAAAGCTACAGATTATAAACACATAGGTAAGAGATATACATCGAGTGTTGGTAAATGCTACTATGGTTTGAATGTGTGTTCCTCCAACCCTGAAAAGAACTTCAGTCATGAGGCTGTACCTGCCCCCCTGAAGGGGTTAATGCCAGTTATTGAAGGGCTCGAGTTCAGTCTCCTGTTCCCTCTTACCCATGTGATACCGTCCACTACATTGCAATATAATAAAAAAGCCCTCAGCAGATGTGTCTGCTAATCTTAGACTTCCCAGTCTCCTGAAAGCATTCGGATACTTATAAGTTACTTAGTCTGTACAATTCTGTTAGAGGAACACAAGAGAGACAGTGCAGGTGCGACCAGGCAAAGGTAGCTTGGAATGAGGCATAGGGAGTGCTGATGTTTGGAGTTTGGGAACTCACCATTTGGGCATTGTTGATGAGCTCTGCATAAGTGGGCCTTTTAGATCATGACCATAAACTGGAAGAAGTGCATCTCGTGAATTGAGAGAATTGTTTGTTGTGCTTAAAATCTGCAAGGTTTCTGTGACTGTGGTGGGGTGCATGGGACTTGGGGACTGGACAAGAACCTTAGGTCAGAGAGATAGCTTGGGGGCCAAATCCCTGAAAGCTAAATCTTACTGGCTCTGAATGCAGTAGAGCATTTTAGAGGTAAGATGTCATACAAGAATGGGCTAGGATTACCTTGGGCTGCTATGTTAAGAGTGAAGTTTGAGATGCATTGGAGATACTCAAGTAGAAAGACCTCACAGACAGCTGGATATACAAGTCTGGAGTCTAGGGACAAGGAAAGAACAGAAATTTAAATTTGGTTCATTGTGTCTGGGTAGCACCTGTATCATATAACTGACTAAAATCATGCTGCAAGTGACTGGGGTCGAAGAGAACTCCAGAAATGGAGCCACTTTGTCACTCAGAGACACCGAGTGAAGAGGAAACGGAAAAGGAATCAGAAGAGGAACAGTCAGTCTAGTGGGGGGTGGACCAAGAGGGCATCTCCCTGAACTAAGTGGTAAAGTATTTCAAGACAGGAAGAGAGCAGCAGGGTCCAGCCACTCCAGTGGGGTGCAGGTTAGAAAGCCAACCGTAGGATTTAGTGACGCGGCAGAAGTTGAGGGGCAGAGTGGTAGAGTAGGATGGAGGCTGACCCTCAAAGACTGGGGCTCTTGAATGGAGCAGAGGAAGTTGGAGACAATGAGCATATGTACTGAGGTTTGCTTAGAAAGAAAATGGAGGGTCTTAAGAATCAGGATGATACTGAGAAATTACAACACATATACTAAAGGACCTGGTGCCACAGAGAAGAGCTAGTGACACTTGAGCCTTCTGGAGGATACAGGAGATTGGGAAGGGAAGAGAACATTCACTGTAGAAAGTTATCCCAGGGTCTGGAACTTGAGGCGATCCCCTTCCTACTGAGTCTTAGAAATTTATAAAGCAGAACCATTGTGTGTGTGAGAGTCAGAAGAGTGAAGACCTTGTTAGTTGCTCTGTGATTACTTTCTACTACTGAGGTTTTAGAGTTAAACTCTGCTATATGGACATCATCAATAGTCCTTGCAAGGGCTGGGAGCGTGACTCATTGGCCAAGCATTTGCCTAGTGTGTTCCATGCACTACAAAAAAATTACGAACAAGGATTCCCAGGAAATGCTGTTTTATTTCAGTGTTTGTTGTTAAGGGAGGGATAGTTAAGAGGATTTGAAAACTGGAGTAGAGGTGGCAGAAGTGAACAGGATGTAGGTAAGGAGCAGATCTTGAACTCTGGTAGTTCTGAGAGCATGTTCCAAGCGTGACCTACTGCAGAGTGGGAGTTTTTCTCGGCATGGTTGATGCAGCTCACTTTACAAGCAGCTCTTGGCAACACTTAGGTATTTAAGAACTGGCTTGCTTGCATTTGAAGTTTTGTGACATTCTACCAGGCGGTGGCTATGCCCCAAAGTCCACACACTTGAGCACTTACTTGAAATGTGAGAGGGGTGGTAAAGGGTGAAGTGCGACCTCAGTACCCCCTTTTCCTCCTTCTGCAGCCCATGCCCCTTTTCGGAGCAGAATTAATGTACTCTGTAGGCTATCACATGTCTGATATTTACATCTGTAAGATGTCCGGCCCCAGGCCCTTTCAGACTGTATATAATCCATCAATGGCTCCCTAATTGATAACATAGCTTCAGGTTGCCTTTCAGACTAGCTGGAAATAGACTCACATAAATTATAAACCATTCTTAGATTTATTTATCCAAAACTAGGTCATGTGTCCATCCATCCAACACATATGTGA